CCCCCAATGCCTCCAGCTCTCCATGTGCCCCCAGTCCCCCTCAGTCCCCCCCAGCCGCTTGGCTCTGTCCCCAGCCCCAGGGATCGCTGGGTGACGGAGGAGTTGAAATTTCAGCCGGCTGTAATCAGGAGATGGGAGAGTGGCCCCAGAGCAGCTTGGCTTTATTTTTAGTTCTGCCTCTCCCCGCGGCATCACATCCCGGCATCGCCCCACACTGTGGCTGGGCTGGATCCTGCAGGTGGCACAGGACCCTGCACCTGGGTGCTCAGCAGGGGACAGGGCTGTTAGTGCCACCTGCACGTCCGCCACCAGGCCCAGGGACCAGTGCTGGGGTTCACGGGCTGCCAGGGGTCACACCAGGTGCTTGAGGTGGCCATGCCAAGCCGAGCCTGCTGCAGCCCCCATTAGCCCACCAGGGTGACAAGCCGACCATGGGGATGGATGTGACCGGTCCCCACCTGCGGTGGAGCTGTGGACAGTGACCATCTCCAGGATGCCACACAGCAGTGGGATTCCAGCCCCGTGGCCAAGGTGCCATAGGGTCTTTGTGCTCAGCCGTGTACAGCCCAGCCGTCCCGACCTGCCCAGGTGACAAGGATGAGGGGGACGTGTGGCTGCTTCCCACTTTGCCTTTATCCCCTGGGGGCCTGGGGTGTGCCTGCTCCATCCCAGGGATGCCTGCCCTGGATCTTGCCCCCTGGGGAGACCTCTGTCCCCAGCATGCTTTCTGGCTTTTGTTAATTATTTTTTTCCTTTCTCTTCTCCAGAAAAACTCAAGCACCACAAAATCATCTTTGTTGTGGGTAAGTGGGTGTCCAGGTCCTGCTGCTGGTGGGGTCAAGGCCACAGTGCAGCCCTGTCCCCCCATGCCTCCAGGGTTGGGGGGCTATGGGGAGCAGCCAGTGCCCAGGGCTGGAGGCTGAGGCTGTGGGACCTCGGCTGTCCCCAGGCACTTTGGGGTGGCTGTGGCTCCAGCCCGGTTCCTTGAGGCCATGGTGGGGTGTGCTGGGACTGCGAGGGCACCTCTGGCTGGGCCTGGGGTGGCAGCGCCTGGGGGATGATGTCCTGGGTGCCATCAGGCAGTGATGTCCTGAGTGCTGATGGGGTCATGATACCCTGGATGCAGTTGAGACAGCGATGTCCAGGTGCTGATGGGGGCGGGGGGTAGTGGTGTCCTGGGTGCCATCAGAGGGGTGGTATCCACGTGCCCATTGCCAGCAGCCCATGCCACCCCCAATGACCTGGCATCCCTCAGCCCACCCCAGGAGCAGCTCTTCCCATCCCTCTGGCACTGGGCTTGTGGATGCCATCTCACTGGGCTCTGGGGACTCCTGTGGGTCTGTGCTGCTCCTTCCACGTACCCTTCCACCTCCTTACCCATAGCTTGGGGCACATGTGGCCCTCGTGTGACTTGCAGGTGGCCCCGGCTCGGGGAAAGGGACCCAGTGTGAGAAGATTGTGCAGAAGTATGGCTACACCCACCTCTCCACGGGGGACCTGCTGCGGGCGGAGGTCAGCTCGGGCTCGGAGCGGGGCAAGAAGCTGCAGGCCATTATGGAGAAGGGCGAGCTGGTGCCCCTGGTGAGTCCATGCAGGCTACCAGCTGTGGCATGGTGGAACATGCAGGCAGGGGTGGCTGTGGGGACACAGGATACCATGGTGACAGTTGGCATGTGTCCCAGGGACACCTCTATCCCTGCCACCCACAGGGGTGCTGGGGTGGGGGCACATTATCCCACATCAGCCCTGGCAGCTCTGTCTCCCCCCCCTCCCCAGGACACAGTGCTGGACATGCTGCGAGATGCCATGGTGGCCAAAGCGGACGTGTCCAAGGGCTTCCTCATCGATGGCTACCCCCGCGAGGTGAAGCAGGGAGAGGAGTTTGAGAAGAAGGTGAGGGCTTGTGCCATGCCATGCCATGCCACCCACCATCCATGCAGGAGGGTCTCCATGGTGCCAGCAGCAGCCCAGCCTCCCCATCCCAGCAAAGATCCCATCCCAACAGGGTCTGAACTGGGCACCGTCCTAGCCAGCAGGTCCCCCTGCCTTGGGGACAGCCCGCACCCAGGGTGCGGTGGAGGGGACCTCTCTCCAGGGTGTCCTCAGGCTGACAGAGGATGACCACAGTGCTGGCATGATGGTGATGGCAGAGAGACAGGGCATGGCCATGGTGCCCCTGTGCCTCCCTCTGCGTGGGTCTGGTGGCCACCAGGACACCAGACCCATGCAGAGGGAGGCAGAGGATGGCATGGGGACATCTGTGACCCCCATGCTCACTGCCACTGTCTCCCCAAACCAGACCCATGCCAGCTTGGCATGGTGACAACCATGTCCCCCTTGCCCCCAGATTGCCCCCCCCACGCTGCTGCTCTATGTGGATGCGGGGAAGGAGACGATGGTGAAACGCCTGCTGAAGCGAGGCGAGACCAGTGGGCGGGTGGATGACAACGAGGAGACCATCAAGAAGCGTTTGGAGACCTACTACAAGGCCACCGAGCCTGTCATTGCCTTCTACAAGAGCAGAGGCATTGTCCGCCAGGTAAGCAGGGATGTGGCCGATGCCACAGCCCCAGGGCTCAGGGCACCTGTGGTCCCAGGGGAGGGGAAGTGATGGATGGGGATGATGAGGGAACGGGGCAAAATTCAATCTTGGCTCATTTGGGGTGGGCTTGACTCTTCAGAGCCAGCTGGACTGTCTGGTTCCTGACATGGAGACCCCCTCCAAGGATAGCCCCACACCCCTTTGCCCAAAATTGGCCCCAATTTCTCTGTCCAAAATCCATCCCTGGAAGAGCTCTGGTCACTGTGTCCCCTGAGGTGACGCCTCTAGCTAACCCCTCTGCACGCAGCTAAACGCAGAGACAGCGGAAGCGGCTTTATCCTGTTTTCGTGGACGGAGCCGCGCGGAGGAAATTTCAAGGACATTGTGTTTGGCTCTTTCCCGTCTCTCCCCAGTAAAGTTCACTTTAATGAGCCCAGACTTTATCTTTTTCTTCTGTTGCAGGAAATGAGTTTTTCTTTCCAGAGATTTTTTTTTTTTTCCTCCCCCAGCCCCTCTGGAGCTGATTAAGGGCCGGAAGTGGGGGTTTATCCCACCAGGGCAGTGAGAGGC